ACAGTGTCTATAAAAACTATTCTAAACAGAAATCTTTGTTTACGAATATTTCTCTAGCAGCTTGCATTCGGTGGTTCTAGAACATTCCTTTCCTGCAGTAGCGTAGTGCCCGTTACCTTGCCAACACTTTAGAGAGGGCAGCAAAATAGAAAAAACCAATATGCGACAGCAATTACACTCATCTTTCAAGAAACTATTATTGAGTTTCCAGAGACCAGGGCCATGTTTTGGTTCATTTAAATCTATTTTGATTGATACTGCCTGGTGATCTGTTAGGATTGCCGGGCGAATATCACAGGACACAATATCTCCGCTATTTAAAATATCCTTAGATATTAACAAATAATCTAGTCTAAATTCTGTTCGCGATCATCAGTCGCTTCGTACTGTTGTTCTTTTGTTTTATCGCTCTCCATCCATCAACTAAATTTAAATTTTTCATCAAGTTTTTAGCAGTAAGAATGGAATTGTCGGGCCTTTTTATACTCCCTTTCTGATCTAGATCCCAATTCATAATGCAATTGAAATCTCCACCCAAAATGATTTTTTTGCAATTTTCATCAGCAAATTCATTAAATCTTTTGTGAGTATTTTCTAAAAAACATGCTTCTATCTTTACTGTTATTTGGTGCATAAATATTTATAATTAAAAAAGGTTTTCCACTAATTACTAATTTAAAAAAAATAAATCTCCCATTTGGGTCAGTTAACTTTTTGACAATTTCACACTCAAGTCCGTTTCTGATGAGTACAGAAACACCTCTGCTATGTGAGCTGCCTATACTATGTGTAGCTATTTTTTCCACAAAAACTGATCTATCTCCATTTAGCCAACTAGTTAATTGTCATTTTACTCTAATTTTTAACCGCATGATTTCACCCACTGGCTTACATCCCAGTGCTTTTAGGTGATTTATGATTTCAGAATCCGCCACCGATAACGGGATATCTTTAATTAGAATTCTTGTAGTTTCAGCGGAATTGTGCGCAATATATGGGTTTTTGTCATATACTGATACATTAGTGTTTCTTATGTTTACTCCTTTTGTGATTATTCGTACTCTATCACTTCGCTTATTTACATAGATTCTCCACAGATTACGTATTTTTTGTACTCCAATAATACTATCCGCAGGAATAATTTCCGTTAAGGCGATGCAAAGATCTTCGTTTTTCAGATACGATTTATTATTTTCCATTGGGATTTGATCGGCTTTCATAAATACCGGCTTTACTACAGTGTTTGTTTTATTTACATTTTCTACTTGATTAGTTTCTTTGTTTGTTTGGTTACCCGTGGCAACAGGTACCGAAACGGCGGGAGTTTCAGGATCGTAGATTGACATACCGACAGTGGATTTTGCCGATTAGCTTAGGCAAAACAGTGATCACTAAAAATAATTCTGGTGCTCTCTTTTTGTTCTTTGGCACTTAATGAAGCAATATTACTTACTCGATTTTAATTTTTCTCCGTATATTTCGTCCTAAAATGAGATCTTTACTCCGGGTATAGCTGCACTGTTACCGTAGTGTTCAGATCACAGCGCCCACCCTTGTAATTTTAATTACAAGTTGAATTGAATACAAAATTCAAATTAAATGTCGTAAGTATATAATTTGCCTAATTTGCTTTAGAAAAATCTAAAAAAAACTTTATTATAGGAATGTTAAACTTGCCTTATTTGCTCACTTGGTTGTGCTTTAGATAAATTTTGAATTGGTGCTATGTATATTTGTTATGTACAATTATTAGTAGTGATTAAAGACCAAAGTTTGTGATGATTTATCATCCATAATCGCGCACAGTTGAATATATCGAAGCACCATTCTTTTAGGTCTCTTAAGATTCTTGAAGAAAAAATATAACGGAATAATATATATAAAGTGACCATGTTACCGGTACTAAAATAAGTCGATACATAACAAAAAATAAGGTATGTCTACATCTTTCACATATTTAACGAGTACTGTACAATCAAATTTTGACTATCTTGCTGGTGTCTTACAAAAAAAGAAAATTAAATGAAAAAGAAAATATGATACTCCTTGTCCCCCCAAAATTGATCTAGATTATCTAGTGAGTTAACCTGATGAAAGTTATTGTAAAATGTTCGGCATTGTCCCAGGTATCATAAATGGCCGCTGCCAGACATTTTTGATTGTAGGATGTACCTGCTACACATCGACTTAATACCCCTGCCCCTTTAATACCATTCCCCCTCAATAGAGCTAGATTATCTCATGAGTTACTGTAACCCTCTAATACCCCAGTACATACAGTACAGTCATTTAATTGCTTTATTCTTCTTACGCTGAAAGTATAGTCATATGTTCAATGAACTTAAAAAAATGTCTTCAAGAATGTTAAGGCACCTAAAAGAATTGTGCTACGATATATTCAACTGTGCACGAGTGTGGATGGTAAATCATCACAAACTTTGGTCTTTAATCAAATTAGTAATATGATACTAATTAGATAATACTAATAATTGGTACATAACAAATACTTATATAGCACCAATTCAAAATTAATCTATTAAGCACTACCAAGTGAGCAAATAAGGCAAGTTTAACATTCCTGTAATAAAACAAGATTTTAGATTTTTCTAAACCAAATTAAGCAAATAGGCAAACTATATACTTACGACATTTAATTTGAATTTTATATAATTCAACTTGTAATCAAAATTAAACGTGAAGTTACTGTAGTATTCCTTACAATAATATTAACAATTGAAGCTTATAATTAATTTTATATAGCCCGAGTGAGTTTTAACTTAAGCAACCCTTCCTAAAAAGGTACACTTTCTTCATCAAAAGGCTTCTACGGATGGAATAACCTGTTCATTGAAGCACGAACTCCTAAACCAAGTACCATTACGATTTTTAATTGTAGGGAAATCTAGATACTGAATATTGGGCATTTATAAATTTTAAATCCTGTATAGAATCTCATTGTTAAACTGTTGTAATATTGACTACTAAAAATAATAAAAGATTATATAGTATTACTATATAGTATTAGTACCTGAAGTTTTCCATCCAGTCTGAAGCTAATTTCATGGCTCTCCATCCACCCTTATTAACCCACACTTCCATCCTGGCAGTATCGTAGACTCTTAGTCAGAGTAGGGGTGGGGATAAAAATCAATCGGAGGGCCAAAGTGAATTTTCGATTCAACACAGAGGGCCGAAACCTAGCTTTGATGTTTCAAGTGTGCTTCCAAAAACCTTCATGCAGTGCTTTTATGTCATTTAATTCTCAGTTTTAATACTACTTTTTACAGGTGATCAGTGTCGGGCCGTAAAAGACTAGAGGTTTTCTATCACTTTGCCCACCACAATGCCGAACACTTCACAGTTACTTTCATCACGTTAACTTACTAGATAATACAATCTAGGTTAATTTTTGGGGCGGGGAATAAGGGGGTGTCTGGCAGACACACCCCACCATCAGAATGGGGTGGCCATTCATAATAACTTGGACTACGACGAAATTATACAGTAAGTTTCATCAGGTTAACTCATTAACTAATCTAGGTCAATTCTGGTAGTGGGGAATAAGGGGATGTCTGGTGGGTACACCCCACCAATAAATGTTCGGCAGTGGCCGAACTGGTACTATGCTAAACATTTTCCAATATGTTTCATAGGGTAACTCCGCCACAAATGTTTGACTGTCATTGTGGTCACTCATGTTACATATAACATGTCATGTAACATTCCACAGGTTAACTCACTAGATAATCTTGATCATTTTTCCCCCTTCCACCATTAAAAATGTCTTGCAGTGGCCATTTCTGATACCTGGTACTATGCCGAACATTTTCTAGTAGGTTTTATCGGGTTAACTCACAAGCTGATCTAGGTCAATTTTTTGGGCGGGGTATTTGGGGATGTCTGGCAGGTATACCCCACTATTAAAAATGTCTTGCAGTGGCCATTTCTGATACCTGGTACTATGCCCAATATTTTCCACTAGGTTTCATCGGGTTAACTCACAAGCTGATCTAGCTTAATTTTGGGGTACCGGTTTTTTGCGTCTGGCACCCACCCCCCACCATTGGAAATGTCTGCCATTGACCATTCATGTTATCTTGAACTATGCCGAATATATTCTAATAGGTTTCATTGGGTTAATTCACAAGTTGATCTAGCTCAATTTTTGGGGCCATTTTTATGCCCCTCCTGACCACACCCACCACAATGGGACCGGCAGATGCCCATTCTCCTACATAGACAGGCACATAGAACATTACTGTATACACAAAAATTTGTTAACTTTCCAGCTATGCTGACACCCCTGGGCTCCTGGTTTATATTAGCTTCATAAAATTCACTAATTCTGAATTTAGTTACCATGAATAAGGTTCAGCATACGCCAGGGATTTTTTTTTTGCTATCCGAGCTTACTAGCTCCACAAAATTCGTTAATTCAGAATTAAACTGCCTTGAGTGACGTTCACTTTAATTCAGGGTTGATTTCTCCCTGGTTTTCGAGCTTATTAGCTCCACGATAAAAATAATTAGCAGGTATCTTGAAAAAAGGTATCCATCCAAATAATGCAATATTGACTACATCACAGCCGTTCACTGGATGTTCATTTACATACATTCAGGTCTACAGTTTTATCATTATAACATAACAGGCAAACAAGTTGTTCTTATTTCACCCGAAATTCATATTCATTCCTCATTCAGCCAATCAGTAACTCACACACACATTTCTCAAAGAATACTTACCTTATTATCATTTTAGACTGGAGACTGGCTGCTGTGTGTAAAAGTAGGTTAGTGGTTCAAAGAAAATACTTACTTATAAACTAAAATAGATGTCACGTGTGACACTTTGTATGTATGTAAGTATGTATGTATGTATCGGTGTCATCATCATCATCATCATCATCATTATCTTTATCATTATTATTATCATCATCATTGTCATCGTCATCATATAGGCCTATGCTAATGTATATTTCACACTATAATTATTTCTTTAG